CTCATCGGCAGAACCCTACACTGGTTGGTATTTGTAATAAGACGGATTTGGCTGAGCATTTTTGGTGTGTATGCTACCCATACTCCCACGGACCAGGCTTGTACCTTCTGGAGCTGTGCTTTCCAGCCTAAACAATCAGACCAGGTCCAGGTCACACTCCCTGGGAGCTTCGGAAAAAGCTGCATCAAACCAGAGCTGCTCCCCAAGCCCAGCAAACCACTCATGGCCCAGGTAGTCCTTCCTGGGAGAACAAAGCTTCCTCCTTCATTGACGAGGATAACTCTTGGTGGGGACAAGAGTGACTTTATTTTAAATGCCAATCCACTGACTAACCCCGAGTCTGGGAATGCCTCCAGAATGTCAAGTTTATGTATTATCTTTATGTAGAAATACCCATTCACCGTAAGTTTCCTTCAAAACAACCCTGGAGGCTATTGCAGAAATCATAGGCTGTGATGCTGGTAGCCGCCTCCACATTCCTTCACATGTGTTTTTCCCTAAGATATAAGTCCTGGGTCTACAGGCTTGCGGCAAAGAGATCTACCTATCTTGTAGTCTCTAAAGACCACGTTTCTGTTTGTAAGTTCCCCTAATAAATCACGCAAAACCTACAAATTGGATTTCTTTTTTAATTTTTTTTTTCAGAGGCAGAATCTCACTCTATCCCCCAGGCTGGAGTGCAATAGCATGATCTCTGCTCACTGCAACCTCAGCCTCCCTGGTTCACGCGATTCTCCTGCCTCAGCCTCCTGAGTAGCTGGGATTACAGGCACCTGCCACCACGCCTGGCTAATTTTTATATTTTTTTTTTAGTAGAGACAGGGTTTCCCCATGTTGGCCAGGCTGGCCTCGAACTCCTGACCTCAGGTGATCCTCCCGCCCTGGCCTCCCAAGTGCTGGGATTACAGGCATGAGCCACTGAGCATGGCCCACAAATTGGATTTCTCTGTCTCCTTTGGTTTCTAGGCTCCTTCTGCATTTGGGGGTTGCTGTGTATATACAACCCTTTCACAGAACAAACTCCCATGGAAGTACAAACTATATTGGCCCTTGTTTTATCCAAGTGACCTGTCTACATGTGTAGCCTTCCAGTATTTGCTGGGTCTGTCTCTTTGGCATTTTTGGAGCTACATAAACCACCAGGTTTCACACTGTTACCCTGGGTTGCTGCTCCTCTGACCGTTCTTCCTGGCTAGCCTCCCACCCTGCGTTCTCTCTCCTGACTCACCTTCTCACTGCTGCTATTCTTCCCATTTCTTTTCTCTGTGTGCTCTGGATCACTTTAAGTTCCATATTGAACTCCTCTACATCCCTATATTTTAATAACCAGTTCCTACAATTCATTTCTTTTTCTTTGAGGCGGAGTTTCACTCTTGTTGCCCAGGCTGGAGTGCAATGGTGCAATCATGGCCCACCACAACCTCTGCCTCCCAGGTTCAAGGGATTTTCCTGCCTCAGCCTCCCCAGTAACTGGGATTGCAGGCATGCAGCACCATGCCCAGCTAATTTTGTATTTTTAGCAGAGACAGGGTTTCTCCATGTTGGTCAGGCTGGTCTCAAACTCCCAACCTCAGGTGATCTATCCGCCTGCCTCAGCTTCCCAAAGTGCTGGAATTACAGGCGTGTGCCACCACACCTGACCAATTCATTTATTTCTTAAACTAACTCTAGGCCGGGTGTGGTAGTTCATGCCTGTAATCCCTGCACTTTGGGAGGCCGAGGCAGGTGGATCACCTGAAGTCAGGAGTTGGAGACCAGCCTGGCCAACCAATATGGTGAAGCCCCATCTCTATTAAAAAAACAACAAAAAACTAATACTTTGCTGTCCCTTAAGGATGTTTCTCCTTTGGGACCTCTTAATGAAGGCTATTCATTCTCCCAAAATCCAACACCTCAAGTTCAAGAGGTGGAATCAGTGCTTCATGGATCCATGCAGTGGCTGGAGACCATTCCTTCTCTGCCCTCATGAATGAATGAACTATTGAATGGTGGCTACTTGGAATGCAAATCTTTTTTTTTTTTTTTTTTTTTTTTT